AAAAACTCTTTTTCTGTTCGGTACCATTTTGTAGAGTTGACTTCAATTTAGATTAATAGTATGGAGCAAACCATCAATCGTTCTCCATTACCGTAGCATTACGGTAGAACTTTTTACAGCGTCATTATGGTTCAGTCGTGTTGTTCCAAAGAAGGTTCCGAAAATTCTGAAAAGTGGTGCATGAGGGATTTTATGAATGCTAGTTTCATTCCTTTTTTGGGAGTCTTTAGATATCAGATGGTGTAATCACATTCTCAGGATGCATTGTAAAGACAGCTATTAGCTTTACCTTGCATCAGACGCGAAGGAAGATTGCGGTAAAATGCAAAGTTCATATTAGGTTTCAGCGACTTTAATTAGTCTAGTGTAAGAGTTTCCAGCTTGGTTCGCTTTCTGAATCAAAATAGGGCCCTCAATGGCTCAAAACATTTTTCGAAGTTCTTACCGTAATCCTACGGTAATGAAAAACGATGGGTGATTCACTCTAACTGAAAATCTTAGTCGAACCTCGCTCCACAAATAGTATCTGTACTTCGCCGAAAGGCATCAAAGCAAAAGATTTTGCAACCATCAAACAACGTATACATACTCTTGGGACATCCTGTACGGTGCATTAGCGCGATTGAAGCGTTCAAGTCATGTTATTTGCTTCAATTTCGAATAGAAAAACAGTTTTTGTTGTGGCGATAGGTAATATTATTATTACTATGTTAGTGACATGGGTAAATTTGGCTACCATCCGGATTTGAGTATCTTTCATTCTTCCAGTAAAAAACGCAGCAACCCTTCTCAGGTGACAGGCGTATGGGCCGCACTTCTGGACATCGTCCAGACTTGCGGCCGATCGTGCGATTGTACCCAAAAATGGGTAGGAGACTATATGTCATCGAAAGGAGGTGGTCGCACGCGGACATCTGCAACAGAGCCATGCAAATCGTAGACATCACAGATTCTTATCAGCTGACCGCGCGGGATGGCACCTATCGGTGATAATATAATCGGCTACCCAAAAAATAATCCTTTCTGAACGGGTGCCTGAGTGATAAAGGCTGCGAAGCGAGTGTGTATGCTCGCTTCTTGCAAAAAGCTTATGAATTATTATTGAATCAGCCTATTCTTGGTCTCAACGAACCCATATGTCTTTCAGCAAAATGTTGTGGATTGCTGGGGCGCCATCTCGCTTGCGCAGCAAGCGTAATAATTTAGCAAAGCTTTTTCACATTGTTCTTGCTGCCACACCACGCCAAAGATGCGCCCGCAACGTGGCGAAGCGAGGCTCGCTTCATCAATCCATAAATCCACGTCATGTTGAAAGAAGAAGTTTGGGTTGAAATTGAGATTACATAATTTCAAGCTTACTCAAGCTTTCAAAGGTACCTTCGACTATGCGTATTAGGTTGTTGCATAAGTTCTGTCCGATTCTTTTTGCCTCATGTTTGAAGCAGCTGTTCTAAGAGAATTTCATCTCTAATGCGGTATTGTTAGTATCATTAGGAAGTGCTTTTCTTGCGCTTTCTAAAGCATATCAAATTTCAATAAATTTCTTGGTGTAAGGAGATTTCAGGCCTAAAATCTCCAAGTGGCCGAGGTACGTTCTCACCCTAGAAATACGTTCTTGCGAGGAAATCCCACAATGCGCCCTTCAAGTCGAGTTCTTTCATTGGCTGCGGAATAAGGGTGTAGAAGGCTAATATATGCTTAAGTTCGGTTCCATGAAGAAAACGTCTTGCTAGTGTAATTTGTCGTCGAACATTAATTTTCTGTATAGATGTTTTACAAGCTATAACTTTCTGCGAATAGAAGTAATCGACGACTTCAAAGTTGCAGGTGCTAGGGCAAAGCAAGAGCTAGCAGTTCCTCTCCACCAAACCCTTTTCGGCGCTCTCATGTCAATTGTAAAATCTTCATAATTTGTAAATAGGCATGCACACATGGGCTGAAGCAAGGTCAAAAAGTGGCTTCTTTTTTGGTCAATCAAAAAAATCTCTCGGCAACACAGACCCTATGGGCTCTTTTATGTTGCAAAATAATCTACGAAAATTTCTATATCTGTCCATTGTTAGATAAGATGCCGACCAATTCCCAAAAGGGAGCATTGCCATGTCAAAAAAGACAAGTTTGAAGGAAAACGTAGTGAAGCTTTTAGGTTTTTGCTTCTTCCTTAACAAGGATTTTCGCAGGTTCTCATATGTATCTGATAGCCAAGGAATTGCTCAACACATGGAAACTAAGATCTTGAAAAGAAGTTGACTTTGAAAAAAGTTATGACATTTTGAAGTCGAAAAATTCAAATCGGACAGAACTTAGGCAACAACCTAATATTATCCTGGTTCTTCAAGTGGAATTTAATTCAACAAACTCCGATAAGAGCAGATACTTGTAATATACTGGGTCGTTTCATAAGTTCGTAGCGTTCTTATAAACCAACAGAAATTATCATTCCTAGTAAAACCATCAACAAAATGTCCTCGATGTAGGAAAGTTCCAATCTCAATTTTTCAAATGGCAGCGTGCCGAGTCCCAAGAAAGTCATCTTACCAGCGCTCAAATTACTCTCTGAAATCGAGACATGCACCGTTCATAAGGTTTGCGAGAGAGCGGTACAAATTATAATGTGACAGAGCAAGATTTGTGGAGTAGTGTGGGTACTGGAGTACCTTCTACTCAAATCATACAGGGCAGCTTTGATGACGTTTGCCGTATGGGGTCACATTTTGTCCTGCAGAAAAACTCAGTAGATGCGCCTTTAGGGCATCTTCTGTGGTATGACCTTATTTAGACGGTGAAGTTGCATTGCATACGTGCGATCAAACTCTTCTTCCAGCAATTTTCAGGGCAGGACCTCCTGCCCATCTCTCGAAAAGTCTTGTTCAGGGACACATTGCTTAACTCTTGGCCTCTCAAAGTAAACTAATCTCTTTTCGTTCTAAATCGACGAGCAAACGCCATTTTCCATGATGGCTAACATACTGTGCAGAGAACGCTGGCATTTTACACGCAAAAATCATCAGATGTCGAAAATGCATCTTTCTACCTTCCGAGATTCCCATCTTTGGAAGCTAAAATGTTGAAGTAGATTACCTTTCCATCGAAATCAACTAGTATGATTCAAATAGCATGATGAGCCTTTTCCTACTATATACGCATCTTGCCGCGAATCAACCGCTCCCCAGAGAGCTGAGGACGAAAATGAAACGCTACAAACTTATGGAATGACCTAAAAGAGTAGTTTAAATAGTAGAGTAACTAAGAAGGAGAACGCAGCAAACTATACAGAGCATGCAAGCAGACAAAAACAAAAGTAGCGGTGCTTGTGTGGTAATTTGGCGACTTGCTGTGTGGCGCCCACCACCGTGCGGAGCAGGACTGCAACCGCCATTCAAAAATTTTGAAGGACTGTTACTAAGCGGGAAACAGAAGCTGAGGCGATCCAAAAACTAGTCTGTAAGGTTTGGAACGTAGATTACATAAAAAAGCAAAGTTATTCACGAAAAGGAAAAAAAATATGAGTTCGTTTTCTCTGAGCCTGGTGGCTCAACAAGTTCGATGACACTTTCTCATGATTTTATATATGTTAATTCAGGTTCCCATTGCCCTAGCAACTCGACGGTCATGCCATTGCCTGTTTGTTGTAGACCAGCCTTCAAGGCACAGTTTTGAAATACCGCGGCCTAAAAGCACGCTGTAGCTCAAAATTTTTGGTTTTGCAAAGAATAGAACGGTGTGGCAGTGAAGAGCACCAGGAAATCTACAGAAAAAAGTAGAGTAAGAGAGGGGGAAGGTTGGGAGGCAAAAATTTGTTTGCTCACAGATACACGATGCTAAAGCTGATTTTTTTGGAAACCAAAGCACCTAATAATGTAGTTTCACAGTCATGCTTGTAAAGGCTTGTCGTATACAAACCTAAATTAGAGAAAGTTTTTTTGCTAGGGCGAAATATGACATTTTTGTTCACCGATTTTTTCTAGAATCCCGCGAAAAAAGCTTGAGATAATTACAGCAAGTGCATATATGATTGTTATTGTTATTTGATACATGATAACCAATTGGGAAGCTCGTAGGGACTAGTAGGGAGTAGGGACTCTCTAGGCAAAGATCTGACTTCTGTTGTAGTCAATTGCTTACAGATTTCGGCTTCGATTTTTGAATTGACAAAAATTTATGTAAGTCTGTGGTAACATTATGAAGAGCTTGCTTCATTCTATTGAACGGTGCCCTACGTATTTTTTGATATTCACATGCTTGGTAGCAGAGATTACGGACACAATTTTTGGCCAACTCGATAGTTTACAAGCCAAGCCAAATTTGATGATTCAGTTTTTCGTCAATAATTTGATGATCCTGGAGAAACGATATTTTCGCTTTTTTATCCAAAAATGATATCCAGCCTGCCCCGGGCTTTTTGCCGAGCCTTATTCATGACAGTTGTGGTGAATGAAAAAAATATAAGGGCTTGAAGATTGGGTTCGGAGCGATTTTCGCCAAAGAAGCAACTATAAGCAGCTGTGCGCAACATATCTAAAATGCACGATCTCTTTTTATGCGATCTTCTGAACCTTCCATTCCAAGTGAATCCAGAGAAAAATCAAGGTTAAATTAAAAGACGCCCTGGAACAAATAGTTACATAGAGCATTTGGTGCGCTTGACCAATAAATTTGGTTGCAGATTTGAGCAATAAATATTTGACAATAGAATTTCCCATAAGCTGTATAAAGCTAAGAGACATTTTTGTCGGCCATAGGCAGACTTTGTTTTTTTTTAAACCATGTCACACAAGAGTACTTTGCACCTCTTGGTTATCCTCGCTGAAGCAGCCTGAATTCTGGCTCATACCGTGCCTATGACGAAAGGTCAATAATTTCATCTTTTCATCATGAAATGTTGGGGCTGGTTGTAAGCCGACCTACGCATGCTGACTCAGAAAAGGGTAAGTTTTATGTGTTCTTGCATATATAATAACTTGAATACCCGCTCATAGCACTTAATTAATAACCTGTATACAAATCAACACAATCTGGACAACATAACCATCTAATCGTATAAGTCAATTCCATACAAGAACATGCGTCTCGCTGAGGACTACCATTACGATAAATGTAAGGTAAACGAAAAGCAAGATAATACCGTGCGGTCGTCGAAGATAGAAATGTTGCACAAAACAAGCTGCAATTCTCCCATCAGTGTGCTAAAGAGTTGCTGAATGTCTTACCGATGAGTGTTGTTGTCAGCGATATACACAAAAATAATATTAACACCCTGTAGGTGGGATTGAGGTTTACCTGAAATACAAAAGCATTCTTTGAGTTGTCCTAACATCATGCGAGCTGCCTCAAAGCCACATAAAACGTTTGGTGATAATGGCGATAATTGAGGGTAGAAAAAAGCGTTCAAACTTGACGATGTGAGAGAGAGTTATCGGCTTGCAGAGACACGATGGATGCCATCGGATGTACCCCCTACTCATCTGAAGAGAGTCCGATTCAAGTGGCTCGAATCTTGCGTGAGCCCTTGCGTGAACACTGCACCCCTTCTGGAATTGTGCCCTCTTATCACTTTTTCCATACTTGAGCGTGGAAAAGTTCGAGCTTCAGTCGCCAATCGAGCGTGGGAAGATATTCAGAGAGCACTTTCACAAAAGAAGTACAGGGCTCAAGCGAGGCGTCCACGCGAGATTGAGCTGATCGAATCGGGCTCACTCTAAATGAGATAGAGGATATGGTTTGAATCCAAGGGTTCCTCTTTGTTTCTCTACAAAGCATCGCTATCGCATCGAGTTGCCTTGGGGCGCTGACTCTCCGGCCATATCAGCCATTTCACACAGTATTGTATCAAATTACTCTAAACAAAATCGAGTACGACTCTTTGAGACTCTCGGTATGTTCGCGAGCAAAGAAGATTGATTCTGCAAGTACCAGAGATGACATTCACTCGATTTCTCTAAAAATATTCAGAAATCACGTTGGAGACGACAAGACCTTCTAACATCTTTGTGACCTTCAGGCAATCTTAACGCGGCTTGTTTTGAGGTTTAAAATTTTTTTTTCAAAAATACTTTTCACAGCCGACTGCTCTCAAGTTTTAAAAATCCTTATAAAGGCTAGGTCGCTACTATTGAGCAACGTCTTGATAAGTTCCAAATGTAAGGAAGGAATTCGAAAAAAAAGAAAAAAGGAAGAGAGCTTGGAATGTGTTGTAGCAAAGGAAGGAAAAAGGACGGTTTTCCTTGAAAAAACACTGTAAAAGAGCGACTTGCTTGGCTGGTTGGAGAATCAGAGCCTCAACGGCAGCTCAGCACATGCTGTGTGTCTGTGCTGTGGAAGAAAGTGAGGAGTCTCTACACTTATACTCAGTGGCGCTCAGATAATCGCCGGGGGCGGGCGGTCCGCAAACTCGCTCTTTTCTGAAAGCGGTCAACAGAGTTTTAGGGCGTAGCCAAATCTTCAGCTGGCGGCACTTCCTTTAAGGTCGCATATTCTGCCAGCGGGCAGCAATACAGCATTTTCTGCAAGCGCTCAGCAAATAGTTTCTTTATCAGCGAGCGCTGGCCAAACTTTGAGCAAGCGCTCGCACTCTTTATAAGCAGTTTTGGGCATACGCCGAGCACAGGTAAGACTCTGTGTGGCAGAGGTGTCACCGTTGGTTTAATTACTCAAGTTTGAGGTACTTTCTCTCAGCGGAAAGTACCTGAGGGCTGCGCGGTCCTCCACAAAGGACCGTGCGGCCCTCGAAAACCTTGCCGGAAAGTCCGCGAGAATGCGCCACTGCACCGCAGCTAATCTACAAAGAAACCGCGATTGTCCTCCAAGCATTCATCCAAAATTTCGCTCAAATTCTTCTAAATATCTGCAAGCGGACCGCAAGAAATCAGCGAACTATTTCTCCGGTGCCCGCCCGCCCATAAATCGCATGGCCGCCTGCCCTCGGTGATTATCTGAGCGGTCGCAGATTTCTTCCGAAGTGGGGGAGGGGGGAACATAATTTTTTTTCGATTGAAGTTGCGAAATCTCTGAGAAGCTTCCCAAAATTCTTGCGGCCTGCCCCCGAAAATTTTTCTAAAGCTAATTTTGATTTTGAAAAAACCCCAAGGGCGCCCCTCGAGAATGGGTTGCGAAATTCTCCTTCTTCCTCTCAGCTCGCCACCGCTCACACTGTATCATGCCGTACTGACCGTGACTGTACGTCCATCAGCTACTGCAATAAGAAAAGGCAAACCAAAACCGATCAGAAAGTCTAAATAAAGGTGAAAACTTTAACGTGCAATCTCTTTTCTTAAAAAGTAACGCACTGAAGAGTGGTCCGCCGATCGAAGCAGCCATTGCCATTCGAGGGTAACCTTGTTTCACCACAGAGATGTCTGCTACCAGATCGCCAATACTGTTGCTCCAAGCCATGACAGTCAATCCTAATATCTAGAAAGCAGAGTTACGTTTGAAGCTGGTGAAATCTTAAGTTTCCTCGCTTTAAAATTTTTCACATGGATTTGAGAATAGATGCGGCATCCCCGCGACGCCTACGTCACTGCGCTCATATAGCCATGCTTATACTGCGCACAATGTCCACCATAATTCCATAGCCGAGAAGGCGCAATTTCGACGCGCAGGCAGCTCTGATAAGCTGCCGATAACTAATTCATCAAGCATGCCTCAAAAGTGGACAACCGCACCCACATGCGATACAAATGTTTTGGGTTCAAGTTAGCATGTGAAATACGTAAGCTTCTTCGGCCGTTGTAGAAAACGAACTTCAATGAAGAGAACGAAGGTTTGAATAATTTCTCTCAACTTCAAGAATGAGTGAGGGCGGGCAATTCTGTGGGCGCGAGCAGCTGGCAGCTAGCGGCTGGCAGAGCTATCGTTATTCTTGACCGCCACCCACTGCACCGCTAGTTTCTCGGTTTTCTTCCCTTCTCGAACATTTGTGTTATAGATGAGTGTAAAAAACCTGCTGGTGTCCATTATTGTTCAATTGCAGTAGTCACCCACACTCTCAGTCTATTATATGGTGACACGTAATACTGGCAAAACAGAACTCTCCCTTCTCTCGCGTTGAAGAACATAATAAAACAAAATCAGCTGCAGCATTAGACAGTTATCGCATTCTGTGCCACGAAAATGCTGAGCTGCTCATTGGAAAGTGTATGTTAGCGCACGAGCCTGACCTCTTAGCGCGCTAAACTCTAAAGTTTCGTTTTAACGCCGAAAAATCAATGATGAACCGGAGAGAAAAGCGCGACCAATACTCAGCGCAGTAAGTCTTTTCAGAACTGATATGGTCAGGTTGCGTGAGCGCGAGGAGTAGGGGAAATTATGGTATGCGTGAACTTATATTAGGTTGTCCCGGAAGTTTCGTCCGTTTTTTCAAATTACTATAAAGCGCAATGAAGACCTGAATGAGATTCAGTATGCATTCGATTCAGCTTTTCCTTCTCTTTCTTAAGGGCACATTTCAGAAATGAAATCTTGTATGCTTTTTTTTTTGATGATTGCCAAAATTCTCCACCCGTCAATTTCTTCTGCTCAAGGTTAGGCTAATTTTTAAAAATTTCATTCTAAAGTTTCGGAAAGGGTTAAGTATGCATTAAATAGAGCAGTTCTCAGACTACAAGACTATATTTTTAGATTCTCCCATTCTGCTGTTTTTAGCTTGAAACAGTTATTTTTTCGGAGGTTTCGATATTTGGCAAAGTCATAAAACACGCAACTGTAGCAAAGACATGAAAGTTCTTGAAGTTTCTACGGATTAAAACATCATTCTTATTAGAAACCAGTGCTTCACCTCTGCTTCGCAGAGGTTCGCACTGGCCATCATGAACCGTGGCAAACTCACTCTCTTAGAGCTTGTCTTTCAAATCATTGTTCGATTGACTTCAGCGTGAGAGCCGTAGTTAAAAATGAACCATACTCGCTATGTCCTCATATGATGTTTAGTACCGTAAATCATTCCTCATTGTAATTTCGTAACAGACAGACTTATATAGACCGACAAATTCGCGGCTTATTATAAGTTATGATTATTTATGCCACATAACCAAGTTCAATTTGCTGATGACGATCGTGATGACGAAGGTTATCCTCCCATGAGCCATAATGTAAGCGAATGTTACTATTATAGGTCACTTGCATCTGCAACTACTATAAATTTATCTATCCCAACATTATTGAGGAAACTTAGAGTAAGTAAACACCTTTTTTGAGTTTTTTCATCAAGCGAATTTTTCTGACCATTCTTCAGTAGTTTGCATGGTGTACTGTTTCAAAACCCTTTGTATTGCAAATGATTACACTACATGTATGACGCGAAAGAGGCCTTTTCCACAACAAGATATCATCAACGAGAAAGTGCCCTCGTTTCAATTCCAGCGATAAGGCTGCTTTTTGGGAGAGAAAGCTTTCCTATGTCACCGCATTGTGACGTTGCGTAATTTGGGCTCGTAGTAATCCCCTCGTCGTGATGGGCGCGACTTGCGAAACATCGCACGTACCCAGCACGTGTCGTTTCGGCCGCTATTTATCCGGCGGCTCTCCCTTATCACGGCCGCCGAGTGAAATCGATTTACTTGCGGCTGTAGAACGTGCTCGTCCTCGTGCGCATAGGACGAACCGTCATGAACGTCGTCACTTGCGGGGCAGACAAAGAAAATAGTGCGCTGAGCATAAATACGCAGGAAGGCGCAACCGACTACGGGTCGAGGAACCGTATAGTGTCATGGCTAATGGTGTAGTTTCAATATTCTACTTTTGAGTTGTCGCTTTCCTCTACTACCAAAGAATCAACAATTCCGTCCATTTACGCAAAAAATTAATTAACCGCAACTTGCCAAACGTTTGTTCGCATGGTACTCGTACTCGCCGACGTTAGCTCAACGACCTCCAATACTGGCGCCGCACTACTCTCACCTTGTAGCTATCGTCAGTACCTTGATAGCGAACATGGGAAGGCAGTGCATACCTTGCAACCTACATAAGGCACATCAGACCTTGCTTATCGATCTCGGCAAATGTCGCAAACAATTTTTTGTGTCGCATCTTTGCTTCGCCAGCTTCTATTTCTTCGGCGTCGAAGAGATATCAGTAGCGCAGTGGCAGTGCGCGCCATCGACGATCACCGAAGGGTTCGATCCGAGCTTTCGCGTGCAAATTTGCGTCGACCAAGCATAGTCGTAAGCAGCATATCCTTTAGTCGGTCACCGTCGTGACTTCGCTTTCTTTACATTGTTTTGTGGATTTACTACGGGTCTTGGTGATAAGGTAGGCGGTAGTGACGTCAATGGGCCCAAAAGCGATTACGAGAAGGAAAACTGTGATGCTTTACAGAGTGATTGAAGAGAACATAGGATGTCACATGCTATGCCTCATTCCTACGAGTTTCAAAGCAAGCACATGTAAAATTTCGTTTAAATCAGTCAATGAGAGTGGAAGCAAGGACTGTAGTTTGAACAAAAATTGAAACTTCCCAGCCAGATGCCTGCTATGAAAGTTTTGCATTTTTCTGTGTGAATGAAAGAGAACATAAAGAGCGGCTGTCATCTATTTTGATAAAATGGAAAGAAACTTTTGAAATTCAAGGGATTCTGCGTCCGGATCCGATGGTGAGAGTTCCGTAGATGTTAAGCTGACCAATAAGCAAGCAAAGCTCTGTTCAAGTTGTTTCCTTTCGAAATATTAGCTTGTCCCGAAAATTTTGTCCGTTTCTTCAAACCACCATAAAGCCACGTACAACAAACGCGTGAATGAGTTTCGACATGCATTCGATGCAGCTTTTCCTTCTCTTTTTTTTACAGGCACATTTCCGTACACAGCTCTGCATGCTTTTTCTGATAACTGACAAAATTCTCTATCCGTCAATTTTATCTGCCCAAAGTTTGGTTAATTTTCAAAAATTTCACTCCATTTGTCTCGAAAGAGTCGAGTATGGGTCATATAGAGCTCTCTATTTGATCTAGCTCTCGGACTACAAGGCAGTATAATTAGATTCTCCCAATCTGCTGTTTTTTGCTCTGAAAAATTATTTCTTCTGGGGTCTCTCTTTTGGGCAAAGTCACGAGACACGCAAATGCAGAAAATGCACGAAAACCTTTGTAGTTTTCGCGAATTGAAACATGATTCTTGTCAAACATTATTTGTGCAACATAACCTAGTTTAGTTTGCTTTGAAAAAGCAGCTTTTTGGAGTTTTCGTTACTTTTACGTGGTAAAAGAACCAAATAGCCGAGGTTTTTATTAAATAAGTAATGACAACGGACTTGGTAAACCTGACCCATGTAATCCAAAACGGCTACAAAGTAGTCAAAGCTTTGCTCTACATAACAGTTACCAGCGCTCTTCGAAAAGTTTAGAATAAAAATTTTTGGAATTCGGGAAGGATCTGGCGTTAACTGCTGGCTGCTCAAAAAGCCATGACGATAACATTGCAAAGGCAGGGTAGATCAGAGAGCAAATATAGCTGTAAGAAAGAGGATAAAAGTATGATTTAACGGTATCTAAGTCGTCCATGGATCGGTGTTCTGTGAGTTTTAATGAGCGATGAAAAAAACGGACAAAGCTTTCGGGACAACCTAATAGAAGAGCATTTTTTGTTTAGTCGTAATGAAAGTCTGTACTTTTGCAGAATTCCTCAGTGTCACTGAGTTTAAGCCATACCTTCGACAGTCCAGAGACAGGACCTCAAAAGTGAAAATTATTTGATTATTTGTCCCTCCTAAAAATTGAAGGTTCTTCATATAAAATCAGAGAAGAAAAAAGATGCAAAATAGTCAGTAAAAACAAAAGAAACTCTTGAAAATCGGATAAAAACGACGAAGTTTGAAATCTTGCATTGCAGATTTTCGCTCCAGGACCACGTGATCCACAACACGGGGAAAAACGAGGAAATGCTAGTTTTTTCTTTGCAATTATTCCGAAAACCAACTATTTCTCGGAAGTAACGATTATCCAGGAAAATTAAACAAAAAAACGGTTTAGTTTTGAAAAAGCAGAGCTTTATTCTTACTAAGTCGAAATGCGCGTCAAAGTCAACCTAGTTTTTGGTGCGTTTTTTAGAGTTTTATCCCTGCATTGTGGTTCTTGTTTTCTAAGACTTTGTCTAAATTGTTGCGCTCATTATTTTAAGCAATAGTCGTCCAAGCTGGAAAAGAATTTTTGCGGAAGGAATGAAAGAGAATAAGGAGGTAAAGACGGACTTTTCACAGAAAAATCCGGCATAATCGAAGAATCAAACTCTGGGAGGTTGTCTACATTATTAGCGGAAGCAATATCTATCGAACGTGGAAAAAAGCATGTGAAAAGAGTTATACTAGAGGACAAGCTAGAGATTTTCGAAAGCATGGCTTTCACCAAATTTCTCGTTCAAATTAAAAAATGTGGTTTTGGGGCGTTGTCAGCGTGAAAGTAGAAATCAAGAGCTTCAACATAATGTACAGCTTGCTAAAATTGGGTTCGAAACAATGAAGAAAAGGGTACCAGAGCCAAATGCCCCGTCCCGCGTTTGGGATAGCGAGGTAGCGCGCAGTTCGCGAAGACAGACCAAAGCCAACGGGGCATTTCGCCGTAGATCCCGCGCGGTCTCAAAGTGTAGTAGAACGCGTTGAGTCGTTGACGACTTATTAGAAAAACACAAGAGTTCCCCCTCTGCCTTCGGCGTACATGTCGAGGGTTCACTAGGAATAACTAGAGAATAACACACACAAATATATCAAAGTGCGGCGGGTACGCCGCAACCACAAAGACCATATCGACCTAACCTATAGTGAGTGAGCAAGTTCCAATAAGGGACGGCTCTACAATACAAAGAAACCCTGCAACATTACATATCATTCTGAGAGTTATGTTACGACAAGGAGCTCAACTCTGATAGCTTCCCTAAACTTCTGAAACTCAATTTTAGTCAATCAAGAGGTTAAGTGAGAGATGTTGTCCTGAATTCTGGGGACACTTTCAAAGAAACCTTCTATTTAGCGTAAAAAAGGCTATAAAAACGACAATTCTCGGTTTTGCTGAGATAATATCCAAAGTATTCCCTATATTTCTTTCATTCACTTTCATTTCAATACAGTCAGAATTATAACATCCGGGGCGTAGTCCTGGATGTTATAATTCTGACATTCATACATAATTTAATAATTTTATTCATACACAGTTTTCAATTAAATCTTGAAAATGATGAACTGGGTTTCGAAATGGTCAAACCTCAAATTCTTCACTTAGTCACAACCTCCAAATACTCCGAGTAATCTGCTTCGAAAGCGGTAGCAATCTGCTTTGAAAGCGCGGTAATGCGCGCCGGCTACAACATGCCGCCAACCCAGAAAATCCGAACACAGTTTTGTCTATTGCATTTAGCGTTTTTGCTCTATTTTGTTTTGTTTTTCATCATTAGTCATCTTTTTCTGTAAGAGAACCTCATAGAGATTATCATACTTGTTTTTGCGAAGTCGAAGAGGAGTGTGCTTTCGAGAGTTCCAAGAGCCACCTCGTGCCAAGTTTTGTTGCGAATCAATAATGGTGTATTGACGTCTACAAAAGTGAAGCACGCAACCAGTTTCCCCATTTTCAAAGACGTGCATTTATGTTTTCAGGTTAAAAAAGGAGTGTTTCTAAACTCTTGATGAAGATAAATTCAAAGTGCGTGGCTTCATTTGAAATATTTATTTCTAGAAAATTTTTTTTACAAAGAAAGGTTGTCTACAACGCATGCCTATTTTATTGGCTTTACAGCGCTTCTTCTCGGACCACCGGCATGCGCAGGAGAAAAAAATGGTCTACTTCGAAGCTTAGTGGCGAAAAATTAAATATTTCAGGCATAATAGGGCTGGAGGCTCATATGCGGTAGTTGTATAGAAATCGACGGCTATTATAAGTGCAAGTGATGACATTAAAACAACCATCTCCTTTTTTGCAAAATAATCATTTGCGATTTTTTGCATCCGTATAATGCTCAACTTTCTGAGTAATTGGCTTTGTAGTTTTTTTGCACGGAATGACTCAAATTTCAATACTGACATAAATGTTCGAGTATCTATGCGTGCCGATCTCTACAGATTCACCGTCTGGTGCGAAAATATGCGCTCAGAGGCAAGTTTTATAGCTTGCGCTACTTGTGTGCGTAATGCAACATTTAGACGCAGCTGCAAGCTCTTATCTCGCAGCCCCGACTCTCTTTTGAATCTTTTATAATCAAACCATTACACTGTTCAGGACGAGTATGTAGATAAGAAAAACTTGAAATCTTTTGGATCGCCTTTGCAGGGCTTGACACGGGTGACTTCAAGAAAGTGCAAAAAAGAAAGTTCCCGTTGACTTTCCCAAAATTTTACAAATTCCTCTTTGACTCTAAGGGCCGCATGCACTAACATCCCCGCGGGGAGAGGATCGCAGCTTAAAAGAAAGCTTTATATTTCGAAACTCCAGATACCTGGATTTCACGTTGTGTACCTATCCGTAAGTATTCCTGCTACCCTTCACTATGAACATGTTGAACAGGAGCGAGAAGCTGTACGAACCGCATTTTCCAGCTTTTGTATGATCCCTGATGATCCCCGGCGCTTTTCTTTAAAGTCATTTTTCTTTCTCCGAAGTTAACGAAAAACCTCCAAAGTTGTACAGATTACCTAAACCGACAGTGCTAAGCATGTTGCTGATAAGAACAAATGATGTTTTGAAGTCATGAAATTTCCGATGATCCACGGGTCGAAATTTGAGGTTTACCGAAAAATTCGACTTTTCAAAAACTCATTTGTTCTCATCTGCAACATGCTTAGCACTGTTGGGTTAGATGATCCGCACAACTTTAGAAGTTTTTCGTTAACTTCGGAGAAAGAAAAATGACTTTAAAGAAAAGCGCCGGGGATCGTCAGGGATCATACAAAAGCTGGAAAATGCGGTTCGTACAGCTTCTCGCTCCTGTTCAACATGTTCATAGTGAAGGGTAGTAGGAATACTTACGGATAGGTACACAACGTGAAATCCAGGTACCTGAGTTTCGAAATATAAAGCTTTTATTTAAGCTACGATCCCCTCCCCGCGGGGATGTTAGTGCATGCGGCCCTAAGTCGTGAACGCAAAAAACCCTCAAAAAACGAAACGTCGACCAAAAAAAGTCGCAAATCCTTTTCGGCCACAAAAACAAAATCCTTTTTGCTTTTGTCCCCAAAACAATATCCAGCTTGCTTATAAGCCACCTGTGCCTAGCCCTGCGCCTTTGGTGTGTAAATTGAATACATGAAGAACAAGACTTTTGGAAAGTTTAAGCCTTTCTTTACAAATCTTTGTAGAAGATTTAGTCCTTAACATGCAAATGAGCGCGAAAAATAGCATATGTAAATGAAGCTTACAAGGGCGCCTACGAAAAACGCTTTCACAAGATGATAATAGTGTTCCATTACTTCTGAATCACATTGACTTATGGGTTTTCAGCAAAATCGAGGTATGGAAAAATTTCTGAAGGTACAATCTAGTTTTTGCAATCTAACCCTTTTTTCTCATGCTGACGTGCGAACGCCATTCTCATAATCGGCACAAAGTCTACGCAGAAGCTCTCCTTTATATAAGAAGAAGAGCAAGTGCTGAAAATGCTTCTTCTTGACTTTTGAGAATTCTTCTCAAAGATGAAAGGGAAATCGATGTAGTTCCGCTTCAATTGGAAACCATCGAGTTTATTACATGAACAGCTCCAATAATATAGGACCCTGCCATAAATTAAAGTGAAAAAACTCTACGAATTTATGGAATATAAATCATAGGTCAGTTATGTTACAAAATCATTGCAGTCTCACGTGTATGCGTGTGAGAGGTGAATCAAAGCCTACAGTTAGGAAGGTAGGAAATCAACGTATAACGAGGCTAATCATAAAAGAACAAGTTAAAGCTTACCTCATGCGATAGTTGGGATATCACGCCAATCATTGTGACTACACTGACAACTTCTGAAGATATGATATAGATCCATGAGAGTGCCATTACGAAGCCGAGGTATGAGGCGAATTCCTACATAGAGAGATGTAATCTTTCTTCAAAGATTCAGATCAAAGCTCACTTTGTAGTATCTCGGCTGCTTGTCGATTGAGGTAAAAATCGCCAGTAAAACAATGATTATGGCTGATAGTATCAATGCATAAGCATATAAACCCGGGCTGCCATTGAAAGGTTGCAGTGTGGTCACTAAAAAGGGTCAATGCAGAGAGCACGCAGAGGTCTTATGAGTGTTCGAAGCCATGACTGTCGCAAAAATGCGACAGATAATTTTCAATAGATAGCGTTTTCTCTGCAATGCATTAGGTTGGAGGTTGCCGACCTGATACATTGCCGGTCTGCCGCACTTTTTAAACAATCTTACTTTCTTTCACGCTCTCTGAAGGGAGTAAATCATGTACTTTTTCGTGACACCTTGATCTCTACTAAGTTTGAGTGCAAAGATAGAAAACATAAAGTACGATCGGTTGAGGTTTGCTGACTTTGATCATACTAACTTGAACTAATGCAATTGCATTTTTTGATATTCTTTGATTTTTTCTCGCTGGACCTTTGCTGTTAGTGAGGATTTGCGACCCCTTTATGCTTAAAATTTTTACAAGGTATAGAAGGTCAGCAACGATTACACAAGTTGGCAATAAACATTTTATTTCAATTTTTCCAAAAATTTCGTACGGAAGAACTTTCTGCAGCAGAGAACCTCGTAATCGTTATGGACATTTTTGGAATAAATGCGCTTTTTTTGCGGATGTATTGCAAAGAAAGCGAGAATTGGTAATTCTGAGGATCGTTCTCTCATCTCTGAACACAAAATTTCAGAAAAAACAAAGATTGATCAAAGCGAAGGCATATATTGGAAACTGAAAAAAGTTTTTCGAAAATCACGAATAGTTTCCAGGATCAGTTTTACTTTGAGAGCCAGCGCTTGAAAGAAGGTGTAAGAAAGACTTGCATTGATTATGATTCAACATAATATAATTCAAAAAAGGGTAGCAGTATCAATCATGCCCCAAAAGATTTCTGAGAGATACTTTTATCAAAAGTATCTCTCAGAAATCTTTATCAAAGAACAATTTACTCCCTACAACACTTCCATGAATTTCACAATAATACAGTGCTGGCCGTAATTATGAAGACACTCTAGAAATCGTCGTAATTTGCGTTCTTGTTGATAAATCTGTCTGAAACTTTGCTGTATAGTGCGCATATTAGCCTAACATGACCCCTAAAAAGGTTTCCAATTTTGTTCGTTCAAACGGAGAAAAATTCGAAAAACGCCCTACCCAAAACTGGACAAAATTATGAAGACACCTGGTTTTTTTTGAACACCACCGCATGCCCTGACTCTGAAATTTTTTGCACAGTCGCATACTGAAATGTGAAACATTTACAACATTTGCGACCTGTCATCCTCTTCAAATAGAAAGGTTCACCGCATTTTTTGCTTTTAGAAGCACTAGAAGTTAATCTGTTTCAACAAACAGCTGGTTTGGGGAGTTATCAAGATCTTGTCTGTCTCAGATGATAGTCATGGAGCCAATTGAGCCTATTTGATGAATGAGTTGAAGAGCGCTTTCGTAAACTCTGCGTGATCGCTGATATTGACGGACAGACTACACTTAACATAGGTTTGTCAATCTTTCATACCACAAAACTCAATTTCCAAGCAACAGAAAATATTGTAATGTAGCCAATACGTCGGCCGTACAAACAGTAAACGTGTGTGCATAGTTGGAAAGGAATGTCGAAGTTGGTATAATGGAGCAGCCGCAGTTGTCATCCACTGAATGTTGGAGCACCCTGCATAATTATAGCTAGCTCAGATCACGAGATAGAACAGGAGACCGCTCAAAACTCCAAAATCTTAGCTCGTCTCATTCTTTGGGTAGAATGTGACAAGAAACAGAGAGGAGAATAGTGAGATTTATGCTTATCTCAAATCCATTGATCGCAGAGAATTTTCGTGGAAAGTGTTTCAAGTCTAAATCGCTACCGCATCATTAGGGAAAATCTGAAAGTTGTTGCGGAAACTGCATCACCATGTAGGCAATATTATGAATTAAGTTCAGCATTTTATGGACAAACTTGCAACTTGCAAACACATTGCAACTGAGTTTTGTGCTTTAAAAGCGTGGAAGCCTATGTTGAGGTTGGAGTCTGTCCGTCCATACTAGCGATTACTTTACGAAAGCGCTCTTCAGCTCATTTATCGAAAAGGCTCAGTGGACTCCATCATTATCATCTGAGATAAACAAGATCTTGAAAACTCCTTAAACCAGCTGTTTGTTGAAGCAGATTGACTTCTGGTGCTACTAAGAGCAAAAAAATGCGATGAAGCTTTCTGTTTGAACGGGTCGCGGATGTTGCAGATGTGTCGCATTTCAGTATGGGACTGTGCAAAAAATTTCAGAGTCAGGGCATGCGATGGTGTTCAAAAAAACTAGGTGTCTCTATAAATTTGTCCAGTTTTGGGTGAAAAGTTCTTCGAATTTTTCTATTTTTCTTCGTTTGAACTCAACAAAATTGGTTTGAGGGGCTGTGTAGGCTAATACGTGCACTATACAGCAAAATTTCAGACAGATACATCAACAAGAACGCAATTTACGACGATTTTTAGAGTGTCTTTATAATTATGGCTGGCACTGTATTCGGCTGCTAACTAAGTTTTGCAACTTTTCCCAGCTTTTTTCCCTTTGTGCATGACATAAAATTTTGACATTATCTAAGCTCTGTCTCAAGCCACAAGTGCAGCTACCAATCTGTTGAATTCTGACGTCATAGTCAGGATTATGGTAGGTATACGGAATAAGGAGAAAATTTTTGGATCATTGCAATTTGGCTAAAACTTGAACCATGAAAAAAAATATTAAATTTGCGCGGTAGAGCCTTTCTGTGCAACTACGGTAGGTTTACGGAGTGGGGATTTGCCCCAAACACGAAAGAGGGGTTAATCGAACGAATGCGTATGATTTTGGCGTTCAGCAGGGGAAGTAACCCCGGTCAAGTTTCAGCGAATTCTGAGACTCCATATCTTTAATCTTCCCCCTGAGCAGCCTTGCGTACAGCGACTCGTCCAACTTCGTCAAGAAGGTCACATCTCGGCTTATCTTCAAAATCGTTTCTTTGTGGTTGAGTGGAATAATAAACCCTTGGCAACAATCTCTGTACAATTTCGGACCGTTGTGCATAATTCAAGTTGTAAACGGCTCTATTTTTGCTTATAAGCCCATAAATCCTTAAATTTCACTAACTTTCGAAAAATGCCTCTTTAATTTTATCACTAAAAAGAAAGCGGTTTGCTCCAGTTCGTAGTCCGCACCCCATTCTACAACGTAAAAAAGAGCGCGCCAAGATTAGAAAGCGAAAAATTACGGAAGGAGTTGCAAAACTCAGTTAACAGCCTGATACTTGCGAGTGCATTGAGATGCAATGTCAGCGCAGAGGCTGCGTTGCACACACGGCTTTAGAAAAGAAGATTTTCGCAGACAGTCGCAACTATTTGACCAAGTTTGCTTTTCCACTCGAAGTGTTCCTATCAAATTGTTTTATTTTGTGTCCATAGTACTAAGGCCCGTATGGACGTACATTTCCGCGGGGAGGGGAGAGGATCTTGGAGGGAAGCTTCGTATCTCGCTAGTCTACATATCTTTCTCTTTCTTTTTCTAATTGCTTATGAAGTTTTTCATACACTGTTACCTGCGCATAAAGGATCCAGGTTACTGCCATACAAGATTGGATATTTACTATTTCGTCTGATCCCCTGGGAATCCCCAGCGAATCACCTCACATTTGCAAAGTCGTTTATCTTCCTGAAAAATCAATGAAAACGCTGCAAAATTGTATTGAAGATATACTACGATACTGCTGAGTATGTTTTCGATAGAAGAAATGGAATCTGAAGATTTTGATTTTTTCGACAATCCCTGGCTCGCGAGCAGCGGTTCATCGAAGATTTTGATATCTTGATATTTCACTCATTTCTACCATAAACATGTTTAGCAGTGCTATCGTCAGTACAATTTTAGAGCATTTTCATTGAGTTTTCAGGAAGATAAATGACTTTGAAAATATGAGGTGATCCCCTGGGGATCCCCAGGGGATCAGACGAAATAATGAATATCTAATCTTGTATGGTAGTCACCTGGCATCCATTATGCGCAAGTATCAGTGTATGAGAAACTTCACAAGCAAGATAGAGAAAGAAGGAGAAAGATATGTAGACTAGCGCGATACGACGCTTTCCGTCTCAGATCCCTTCCCCTCCTAGCGGGGATGTACGTGCATACGGGCCTAAGATGGTAACAATGATGAATGCTATAGGAGCCCCGAATCTCGAAATGCGCTACCACTCATCCATTGCAAGAATGGTGCTCAAACTTTTGACGACTCTTATTCAATGTCGCGTTTGTACTTTCAAACTGGAGATTTATGTTTTAAGTTCGTCGTGCAGCCTCCTCTTTTTCGTTAAATTTCCAGTGGGGGCGGCGATAAAGAGTTTTCATGTAGTTATTTTCGAAGCTAGCTATTCTGCTTCTCTTTACTGATCGCTAGCATCGAATCAACAACAGCATAGGTCTAGATGATTCTAGGTGGACAATCTTATTACAGTCTAATTACTTCGTGTTTCAAAATCTTGAACTTGATTGTTGAAACTCTATCTATCAGGTTGTCCCATGAGTCTCCTAATTTTCGTATTTTGCCGCAATGAGTCAAACACTCCTTATTGGCAAATGGCATCGGGATCTATTCAGCAGAGTCAAGCAAGCTCTACAAGATGGTTTATAATTTTAGTCCAGCATAGATCCATCTGGAGTTGCCAGGAGGTCGGAAACTCTCGATGTCGTTCAAGGAGCCACGACAGCTTCGACAGAGCCCTAGAAAGCCTGGCTATCTAAGGTATGCGGTAAATCCAATAGCTTTTCAACTGTAAATCAGTCTCCTCGGTACCCTACGCACCGCGTTTATTTGCTGCTTGGGACGTCGGATGGCAGTACGATTGCTGAGGGACGAAGAAATCTCAGATGCAAAAGACGTCCTTGATCTTATCCTACAAATTCAACACAAGGAAACTATTTTCGATTGCTGCACATACAACGCAAAGACCTTAGCTTCAGCCCACGAGCTCTTCGTTCCTCTAGACACCGCAAACCGCATCAAATACGATGTGATTGCACTACAGGAAAGAACAGAAGTACAACTATGTCAAAAGCAAGGATAGAACTTTTATCATACTAGGAGAAAAGGTTCCAGCACAAAGCATCGGAGGCGCGGGTTTTGTAGTACACCAATCCGTTACCTACCTCGTCAACTCTTATAAAATCCTGTTGCCATGACTAGCAGTCCTCAAACTTGTTGCTCCAGGTCGAAGAAGAACAGCATCATCAACTGTTATACGCCCAAAGATGCAGTAGATGATTCCGAAATCGACAAGTTCTATGAGGATGGAAGACGCTATTCGCAAGGGAAACTGTTCTATAAGTTCATCGTTGGCGTCTTCGGTGCAAGGATAGAGACGGTCACAACGCTAGAAAGACGACAGAATTTAAAATTTGGACTAAGGAGTTGGAACAAGAATGGAGACAGATACAGACACACTTATCGAAGCGGTTCGTCTTTTTCATGAAAATATCTTTTAACAAAAGAAAGAAAATCACCGCTGGACGTGGAAGTCACCAAATGAGGCAGTTACATGCAGAGATCGATCATACACTTGTCAATAAGAAGTGGAGTTTGATCAAAGCGAAGTGGTTCCGTTGTTCCGCATATTTTCGGATCACCGTTTACTTCATGCAAAGATTCGCATCAATCGGAAAATGGAAACGCAACCGAAGCCATATACGGCAAACCCACTCTCGAGAATGCCATTTCCGGATATGAAAAAAAGCGAAGATCCAACAGAAGATCTTTGAGGCCCCAGTCAGACTTCGCTCAAAAGCGCCCAAAAGCGCTCAAATTTGCCTGCTGTCACTTTCTGTGACAGCAGGCAAATTTGAGGAGAAATGATTGAATGGAAGAATGGCTAGAAAAAATCTGTGCGCTTTTAGTCGCTTTTGGGCGCTTTTGATCGAAGTTTGGCCGGGCCTGAAAGTTGACTGTAGGACTGCGCAGCTGTGCTGAGCAGACAGCTTACCGTGAAAAGGGGCTTGAGCGTCTGACGAATAACATGAAGAAACTTCTTCAAGAAGGGAGAATCCTATACGCAGGTGAAGCACGCATCTAAAGCAAGTGGTGTTCGACAGCTTTCGCAGGAAAGCTGGACAAGGATCTAAAACGATATCGACAAGTGAAGATATTGTGAGGAGCACAGAACAGTAAAAGTTTGAAGATGTCGCAGGGCTTCGCAAGCATGAGATACCGTTGCAAGCTCATAAGCAAAGGCGACGATATCAAACTCCCAACGAGAAATGAAAGCGATAACGAGGGACTTTTACAATGAACTTTTTCGATCCATAAAGACTGTACCAGGTCCTGCCATCAGCACAGGTGAGCATCCGCAGAGGATTGTTCCTTCGAAAGTACGCTCGGACACAGAGTGCATGATCCGCACAGAAGATCATTATGAAGCATATTTCAAGGAGTTGGATGAAATGCGACCGACTAAGCAAACCGGATACCCCTTAAGGAATCAACTGCACTCGATTCCAAACCGTTGAAGGGTAATGGAAGTTTGTCGTTAATACCAGCTGTCTCTACTCCTCGTCTTCTCAATTGCGAAAAATCTTTGATAACGTGGAAATGAATGCCGTTTCAACTGCTTCGATCGACAAAGGCGTGGACGCAAGATATAAGGGCCATAACGGACTGTAACAAAGAATTACCACCACAAAGCAGCTGTTCGACCACCCGTTCCACATCTGTGTCGAGAAAAGAGTCCGAAAGACGACACGTTGGCCAAAGATTACCTTGGTACAAAAGTGATGCATGCAGTCGCTCAATGGAAAACGAAGTGGATACATGTGGATGGAGGGTGCCTTCCAAATTTTCGTTTTGCAGATGAAATGGTCTTGCTCTCAGAGTACATCAGCGAAGCCGAAGAGATGCTGATCGGATTAAACGAAAGCGCGAAAAGCACAGGCCTTGAGATAGATCAAAGAAGAAGCATTTTATATGAACACTGATGGAGTAAAGGTAGATCATTTTTGTATGCATCACCGTTGAAGGAGGCTTCGTCTTATGTTTACCTAGACGCTAACATGAATAATGACATGAATGATGATTTCAGCCGAAGACAAAGAGCAGATGGGCAGCCTTTGTCCCTATGAAAGACGCTGCAGAATGCAGATAACCTCTTTGAGCCGGAGCTGTGCGCTCACTTTCTAATAAATCAGCAACTGCGATGACATTACGATAGCACACAGAGCACTCGAAGAAAAAACCAAGTTATAACCAAGTTCAGACAGTATCGGCTTGGAATTTAAAGCTCCGACCTAAAGCAAATTTGGAGTCTACAAGATCCAGTCGGGTATCAAAGAATATTTGGATGGCCGGTCATATTGTGAGAAGAGAAGACGATATATGAACGAAAAGAACATTGAAATGGATTCCAAGATCCTCAAAACGTCCACATGGAGAGCCTCGAAGAAATGGTGTGACGAATTTGTTGCCTGTGTAAACTAGCTGCATCAAGAGCTCAACTGAGAATATCCAGCAGAATCGCACTGCGTATCAAGATGTTCATGGACGATGACAGCACGAAATCGTAACGACTGGTCAAAACTTGGACCCCGCATGGCGAGTGAGGATGGGCCATATAAATAATCAAGTAAGTGTCCACCTCAAATCTGAAATCAAGATGGAAAATTCTGGAAGTTTGAAAAATTGAAATTCTTTTATATCTTTGTTACAAACTCCTACAGAATTTTTCGCTTGCACATGCATGTACATTCCACAATAGCCACTCACAGGTCCGTTGCTGTATTTTTTCTTTGGCTGGAAATCGAAATAACGGTTTTATGTTTTTATCGAAGTGATGCTGTGCTGTTCTTACATTGGCGGTAGTATAGCAGAAGTCTTTGGAGTTCCAACCATGTATTTTTGCAAAAATGTTGAATTTAGTTTTCTCTACTTGGGTGCTTCAAGCTTACCTCAATTTATCTGAAGTTAGAGCTTGTAGAGGACTAAGTACGGTTGTACTTCTGAAGGCTTGTAATATACAAGCACTTGTAAGACAACATTATTTCGGAAAAATACGAACAATTTCGTTTTCATTGCCTAAGGAAAAAATACAGCAACGCTACATATGAGTGTTTGATGTGGAGTATATGCATGAGTGAGGAGTCTGTGGGATTATATGAACGAAAATAATTTTTCAAAAAAAGTTGGAACTTTTTTGATTTTGATTTCGAAATTAGGTGGATCTGAATTGGTGCAAAAGTTTGACGCCTTCTTGTAGAACTTGACTTGCATGCGTATTTCCACAAATAAAAAGTGTTTTACTTGTTGCTATAAAATAAAAACAAAAAGACTTATGAAATAATTTGATAATTTCTATGAAATGTCTAATTTTTCCTTCACAAAAAAAGCTAAAAAACTGAATACACGACCCCAAATAATACTTCAATCTCCTAAAAAGTTTAGAAGAAATGGAATAAAACCATGTCAGAAACCGACTTCCGAATGCAAAGAGGAACCACTGCGGTGCAAATAAAGCTTGAATGATAGCCATCGCCTTCGACCAACTGCAATCGGTAAGTGGGATCGTCACTTTCAGCAGCAATATGGCAGGAATCTGGAAGGCACTGATTAAGCCGTTTAATTCAAATGCTAGGTATGCTTTTACAATATCAAATCTAGAAGGAAAAGTGCTTCACCTTTATAATGCTCAACATTTTTCCAAACATGCCAAGTTCATTCCATTCCTCGGGAAGAGGATTAATGTGCTTGATAACATCATGGAATACCGTCAAAGTTGAAACAGTTTTGATAGGAGGAGGAGCTGCAAACTTCAAAATTTATTCAAATAAAATTTCTCTTTAGGAAGTAGTAGAGTCTGTGCCACGACGGGTTAAAAAAAATATCTGATAGAATAAAAGATTCAAGTAATTGTGTTATTAACACATTCACGACCGATGACACCCATGGTGTGTCATGGCTTGAACTTCGTTAACAGTACTTTGAAACAACTCCCACATTCTTTTGTCAGTCTGCCGAAGCTACTGTAGGTGTGCTGTAGATGACGGTATGCAGTTTTTTCTCAAACAAATGTTGATCCTTTAGGTTAGTTTTTCTTTCAAAAAGTGTTGATCTATTCGAGGCGTTGGTTTTAGAAACAAAACTATAATACCCTAATTTCACGCGTACAAGGCGCGGGGATTTTTTTTCCAAAATTGACTAGCCCAAATACGCTAAAGAACTTTGCAACCAAAGGACCCTATGCCGTGCTGTATATTGCTTAAGAGGATCGTACGGCATAGAATTCGCTTTTCGAAATACTTTGGAGCGGCTGAGGGGTTTGATTGAAAAATCGGAAAAGGTGCGCCTTGTACGCGTGAAATTAGGGTACTATTAGGTTGTAGCATAAGTCTTGAGACACTCTTACTTGTTACGGCGATAAGTCATGCAATTCACATTTTCGACGGGGGCCCAAGGTACCTTTCGATAGAGCAAAGCAAGCTCTACAAGATGGTGTGCAAAAGTTTGCACCAGCTTCGACCCACTTTATCACTACCTCAAATACTCATATGTGCCGTTTATGAATTTTTTCCTCATTTAGAAATCGAGAAAAAGAAAATTTTCATGTTTATACAAAAACGAAGCTAAGTTTTCAATCATGCAAATGTATACTACAATCCCTTAAAAGCATAACCGTAAATTTTCAGCTTTCCACAAGCTCTAGTTTTCGAAAATTATTGAATTCAGCTCTCCTCACTCGGGTGTTTCATGCTAAAATCAATATTTCTCGAAAACTAGGGCTTGTGGAAAGCCGAGAATTTATGGTTATACTTCTAAGGGATTGTAGTATACATTTGCATGATTGGAAACTTAGCTTCGTCTTTGTATAAACATGAAAATTTTCATTTTTTCGATTTCTAAATGAGGAAAAAATTCAGAAACGGCACATATGAGTGTTTAAGGTAGTGTGCAATTTTTTATGAGCAAGTTGGAGGTCCGTAAGATTTTATTGAACGAAGATGTGAATTTTCCGCGATTTTCTAAGCCTTCAGTGCGACTCACATTTTGGTTGCGAACCTAAAGTGGGTCCAAGCTGGTGCAAACTTTTGCATATCTTGTAAAGCTTGCTTTGCTCTATCGAACCGTACCCTGGATCCCATTGAAAATGTGAATTGCATGACTTATCGCCGTAAGAAGTAGGAGTGTCTCAAGACTTATATTACAACCTAATAGAAACTCGCATGATGTCAATATAATAAATTAAGAAAGGAGTCAGCAAGTGGACCTCAACACAAACACATTCATACCTTGTGATACGGTCATTTTTCTTGCTTCGGGACCCTTTAGAACTACGTTGTGAGAAACTACAAATTCCTCCTCCGATTCTTCGGGATTCTCGATTTCTTCTGAAAGAAGGCTTTTATTTTGCAGGTGATTTCGATCAATTATTTGATATTTCACATTATTAATGGGCACCTTTACCTTCAGGCTTGACGTATGTACTCTTTGGAGCGGCTACGTTGAGTAGGTCTCCATTAACTGCCATAAATTTCTTCTTTGTCATCTCTCTGACTGCTTCCAGGTCGTACGAACCTCAAAACGAAATGACAGTACAAACACCTCTTGCTTCCTTTTGAAATACTAGGTTGTAACAAAATTAATGCAGGTTTTGAATTCCAACCGCAATAAGTCATACATTTCTCATTTCTAACTAGGTTGCAAAGTGCCATTCGATAGAGCAAAGCAAGCTCTACAAGAGGGCCATCTTGCTCTAGCAACAACTCTCATCCACCACGAGTTTCGAGCCAAAAACTAAAAAGATTCAACTGCCCGAAAAATTGAGAAAAATCGTAACTTAGTTCATAAAAAACCTACAAAAATTCTAACTTACTCACGTAATCACTATTCACATAAGATATCTATATACGCCTTTGCCGTATTTTTTTCTTTGTTAGAAATCAAGAAAACGGAAATTTTCGTGCGTTTGTCAAAGTGATGCTGTGCCGTTCCCACATACGTAGTTGTATACTACAAACCTGTAGAAGTATAAACGTGAATTTCCAGCTCTCTACAAGCTTTAGTTCTCGAAAAATATCGAATACAGTTTTCGCTAGTCATGTGGTCCAAGCTAAAATTCAAATTTCTCGAGAACTAAAGCTTGTAGAGAGCTGAAAATTTACGTTTCTACTTCTACAGATTTGTAGTACACAATTACTCATGTGGGAACGGCACAGCAACACTTTGGCAAATGCACGAAAATTTCCGTTTACTTGATATCTAACAGAGAAAAAAATACGGCAAAGGCGTATATAGATGTCTTATGCGAATAGTATTTACGTGAGCAAGTTAGAATTTTTGTAGGTTTTTTATGAACTAAGTTACGATTTTTCTCAATTTTTCGGGCAGTTGAATCTTTTTAGTTTTTGGCTCGAAACTCGTGGTGGATGAGAGTTGTTGCTAGAGCAAGATGGCCCTCTTGTAGAGCTTGCTTTGCTCTATCGAATGGCACTTTGCAACCTAGTTAGAAATGAGAATCGTATGACTTATTGCGGTTGGAATTCAAAACCTGCATTAATTTTGTTACAACCTAATATCAAAAACCAAATTGTTTTTTTGGAATGTATGGATGAGTGGAAGAGGATATCTGAGACAGCGAAAACAAGCCAGGTGCCCAAGCAGATCTAGCGGGAGGGCAACGAATTTTCAACAGCGAAAGAACATAGTAGAAGTGGCCGGTAGATGCGTGATCCATATGTATCGCCACTCAAAATGGTCATCAGTGGGCGTATGATTAATGGTGTGTCATTCAATTACGAATGCTAAGGATTGGAGTTATCAAGCTAGATTAAGTGAGTCAATTTCTTCTTCTTCCTCTTCAGTATGCGATTAAGACAAACCTTTTTTATCACCTTTCTTGTGTCTGTCTGGGTCAGAATATTTTAAGTCGCATAACTTAGTATCGGGGCGCGGCACAGCTGGAACCGAATCAAGCTGAATATCGTTGTCGGGGAAAAGCAGAGGATATAGCGTTTCCCTAGGCCGGAGTGAAGAGGTCCGCAAGCATGCCGCGCGCATACTGCATGCTCTACTCCGAACCAAGAAAAGTTTTGTTTACAATAAACGAGATGCTATGATACCATGGCGTTTGGGAGTGCGCGTGGGGGTTTCGAAAAATGGTCAAAGATTGAAAAATTTGTGAAAACTTGCGTAAATGAAGGCGTGCCCACCTTTTTCCGAATTATCTGGCAAATCTGGCTGGATTTCGGGTTAGCTGAAAGCGAGCCTTTGCTCGCATAATTTTTCATACTTTCTTACATTCCTTACAGGCAAAAAGCCGCTTCATGAACCTTCTTTTTATTTTTTAAACCCTCAATGCGATCGGAAGAATGAAAATTTGAAGGCATTGAGTGCTATCTGCTTCTATCGCGAAGCAAGAAGAAGTGGAAAGTGAGTGAGGAGACGCGGAGGAAGAAGACGAGTGCTAACCGGTAGATTTCAGACTCCTCTGACCATGGAGTAAAATTCGGCGAATAATAAGGAAAGTTACAAAAATTTCTGAATCTCCTGTTTAATAAGTCGTAAAAGAGTGGGTTTTCTTTAAAGGCAGGGCTCGGCAAAACCGAACATCACAAAATTTTGATATGGAAGGTTGTTTGCATCCCGAACAAGAGAACAGAGCAGGTCCGAGCGCACAGCACGTACTGACCTGCCTAGAAAACTGCCCCTAAATCCGTGCGCGCAAGTCATTCTAATATGCGCGGATGAGCTTAGCATTTTCCCTGATCTGTCATAGAAGGCATGCCGCAGTGCTATACACATGAGGGTACTGCAACGATTCTTCTCTAACCATGGCAGGGAGTGTTCTACTCGTCCATAAAATAAAAACGAAGGGCTTCGGAAAATGATGCCTTTTGCCATTTTCGTGCTCCCTAAGGTGAATTTCCGAAATCAGCATATTACTGCAGGTAAGGGAAAAACTTCAGGTCGAGCCTGCCTTTAAAGGCAGTGTCTCACCAAAATTTAATTGTCGAGATTTTTGCATTTTGCATGGCTGTCGGACCTTGTCTAATACTGTATGGGCTTGAAATCGCACGAAGTTCCCAAAAACCCCGTTTTCTGGAGGCCCCGCGGAAGCAACGTGGACGAGTTGTACCTTCCAACTTCAGCCTCAGCCACAGTGGCAGCAACAGAGGGGAGGTGAATGCCAAGTGGAGGGACATGTTCAAACTCGTAAGGCGGGAGGCCGAAGGAGTCGTCCTCGCGTACCAGCTCGCTCTCCGCGTACCACTTTATGCGAATTTTTTTCAGCGTGGAGGGGGTCAAATTGAGTGGAACTCGTTGCAATGACCTGTTTAAACGTCCCTATGATATAATATGTGAAGATCCGGCGACCTCGACTTTGGTGAGACACTGCCTTTAAGCCATGTACTTTTCGGTTGAGCGACAGCATAGGGTTGTTTCAGACTGCCGCGCTGACCGCAGCAGACTGCAGCAGACTGCAGCTGAGCGCACTGACTGCAACGGCCGCAGAGGTTGAAGCCTGAAGCTAAAGAGGATCATAAGTTGTGGCTCAAACAAACAACAACAATATATAACTAAAGCTAAAAGACAACACGGGCTAGAATGTCATAAAACAGGTATATGCAATAATAAGAGGAATTAGAACAAATACGAACATAGCAAAGAAAAACTTCCAGAATTTGAATGAGAAGAAATGTGATGGAACTTACGTTTTTCTTAGGCGTAAATCACGTGTTTTGATAATCGCCGCTGTTTTTTTTTCTACGAAAGGGAGGCAGCGACCGGTGCGGTCAGTGCGGTCAGCTGCAAACAGCTGCAGTCTGTTGCGGTCAGTGCCGCAGTCTAAAACAACCCATAGGCAAGCAAAAAAGAGGGGGGGGGGGAGTGACGAAAATATTCAAAAGGTAATTTGTAAAAGTTTTTGAAAATTAGAGGGAGAGCTTTCCCTGGTTATAGCTGGTGCCAAGCCCTGATTAGTATGAATTAGTCTAATCTAGAGTTCTTTTTTGGGAATGTTCATTGGGTAAAAATTACAAACAATCTTTTGCTAAAGCCTCTTTGATTCTTAGCTTTTTACATTATCATGCCAGCTGCTGAATAGCTAATCATTGACGGCCAGGGTTAAGCGTGGGGTATGGCATGCCACATCTGGAGTTGTATCGAGTAATCAGGGAGGGGGGTAGAGTCGTTCCCTGTAATTTAGGTTTCAGCGAATTCTGCTGGGGTTTCCAAATACAGGACCACCTAACTCAGACAATCGCCGGAGGCAGGCGGGCACCGAAAAGATAGATTGCTGATCTCTCGCACCCCGCTCGCGGATTTTTTGGAAAGCAATCAGGACTTTTCGGAAGACCGCTTGCTGAGTTCTCGATTCCTCAGAGATTCAGCAATATATCCGCAAAAGACAAAAGCGAAAAAATTTCAACAGGCGGTCTCTCAAAAAGTCCTGATTGCTTCCAAAAAAATCCGCGAGCGGGGTGCGAGAAATCAGCAATCTATTTTCCGGTGCCCGCCTGCCCCCAGCGATTATCTGAGTAAGTGAGATAGTCGTTTCTAAACATGTTAGTTTGTTACATAGGTAAGTCAACTACCTTCTTTTTTTGCGCTTAATACAAAGAGATACTGTTCTACCGTAATACTACAGTAATGAAGAGAGATGGGTGACTCGTTCTATACTGCAAATCTTAGTTGAAGCCAGCTCTACAAAATAGGATATCTGAGGCAAGGCAAAAGACTTCTTGGGAAAAGAGATATTAACGATCAAACAGTGTATACATACTTTACGGACACCTTATATATATATACTAGCGACCCTACGGGTCGCTAGCAAGTGGGTTGGGGCAGATACATTGATACATACGTTCGGAGCCATTGTAAATAGGTTTGAACTCATTTCATTTTCTGAACGACTCGCGAGTTATAAATAATATCAGTTTGACTAATAAATAAGTTCGGTTACTTGCAAATTCGACGTTAAGGGTTATTGCGAAGAGTTAGCTTTAGCCTTCTACTCTTCTTCTACTCTTACATACCATTTAGTCAAAAAATTTTATCATCGAAAAATGACAGTTATGCCCTTATATGGTCCGATCTTTCAAAAATAGCTTTTTTGAATTTTCCAGTTTGGTCTTAGCCAATAGCGAGTGCACGGACGAATTAAATGGCGGTTAGATATAGGCCCGTAGTAAAGCTAATTCAGTTCAGGTGAACTGAACTGAGGCCCTCATCCAAGGTTCGGTAAGGTAGACTGCCTATCACCATCTTCCTATGTTGTAAGAATGCAAAATGAGATTTCAGCTGACCGTCCGTCTACCTGACGAGGTAGTCTACCTTACTTCAGTCAGTTCACATTCAGTTAGACTACCTATTGATGTAAATAGTGTGTCAATGATGATACGCAGAGAAACTTCTCGTAAGTTACTCCCGAGTAACTTACGATACACGTCAGTTTAACATGTCGGTGAGGAGCCACAGTGATGCTGACGAGACTTAACAAGACCTAACAAGTGCGGCCACATCCCCGCCGCTAGTGCCAGCGACGTAGATGTGGATGTTTGGCAAACTCGTCCTTG